GCATATAAATTTTTAAAGAATTTTTAAAAAATTATTATATAAAATTGTTTGAAACTTAATTTTAAAATTAGATTATTATAAAAATCTTTTAAAAAACTTAAAATCTTTATTAATAAAGTTAATAAAAAATATATTAAATTATAATTTTTATATAATAATGATATTAATAAAATTAATATTTATATTTTATTAAGAAATTAACACTTTTTTTTTAACTATGCAGGCAAATTTGCCTGCTCTACAGTCTAAGGGATAATAAACTCCTAATTTATTTAAATCTTTTCCTATACTTTCAATTATAAATTTATCTAATTGTCACATTTAATTAACTGCCATAATTCATGTAAATTATCTTTTTTTCCACAACATTTTATTTCTCCATTAATAATATCTATTATTATACAAATAGATAATACATTTTTTCTGTTTCTATTATTTGTAATATATTTATATCTTATTTTATTTTTGTACTTTCTGTATTAATAAAAAGAATTGCTAAATCATTTTTCAATTCTTCACTACTATTACTATTTTTATTACTACTTGTACTATTTGTTAAATCTTGTAATAATAAATAAGCAGCTTTAAAAGAATTTTAATCTTGTAAAAAAGTAAAATCTTTTTCATAGTCAGGTATTTTATCAAAAAAAGTATCAATAATTTAAGTATTTGTAATACTTTCTATTATTTTTAAAATTTCAAAATTTTTTTTATTATTAAAGTAATACCAGATAATCTAAAATGTATAATATATATTTTATAAATTTTTTTTATTAATAATAAACAATTTTTTTATTTATAATATTTTAAAAAAAATTACTTTAAAATTAAATTAAAAAAAAACATATTTAAATTTGAAATCTGTAATTATTATACAAAAAAAATTTAATATATTAAATAAATATTAATTTATTAAACAATATATTGTAAATTCTAATTAGCAAAGGTAAAATGTAAAGAAAAAAAAGTTTCAAATATATTACATTTTATTAAACTAATACATTATTCTAAATAAATATGAAATATCTATAATAGTAACTTTATTTAGTATCATTTATTTATATTTTTTATTAAAATAAAAAAAAAATAATTAAACAGCAAAAAAAAATTATTTAAACTTAAAATTTTAAGTCAGTATAACATATTTTTCACATTAAAAATTTTCTATTATACTTTTACATATTAAATTCGATATATAATAGACAATATTTTAAAGAGATCTTCTTAAAACTACCAAACTTTCAACTTTTAAAATTTATAAAATTGTTTTTGCAAAATAAGCGAATATTTTATATATTTTATATAAAACAGAAATTTTAAAATAGTTAGAAATATTACACAATTATCTTATATGTGAAGTCAAAAAAGTAGCAAAAATTATATAAAATTTTACCTATCATAGAATCAACATCATATAATTTTATTTGCTATAATTAACATGCAACATTTCTGGTGACAGATACTGTTTAGGATTACAAATAAAGTAGTATATTTGCATTTTGATTGTTTTTATAGACTGACATGCATGTTACTAATTAAATTTTCACCAGTTCAGCCTGATTTACTTGATACTATAATTTGATATAAAAAACAAGTCTATTGCATCAAAAATTTTGTGTCTGATATGATAACTAACTTTTTAGAGTACTTTGAAAAATCAGATGAATTTTTTACATACTCAACTTTTTTATTTGTTTTTAATGAAAAGTAGATTTCACCTGTATCTTTCAGCTTTTTTATTTTGAATATCTGACATCCAACAAGAAATAGATGAATAATATAATATTCAAACAAATAAATTCTCTGCATAATGATCATATATATTTCAAATTTTATGCAAGCAATCGTCTCATCTAAAATTAATTACAATTCAGACACAATTTGGTTAAAATAACTTAATTTAATCACCTAAAATCAATCATAATTCAAACACAATTCAGATATAATTCAGATAAAATTTAGACACAATTACATTTTAATTTATTTAATTATATTTTTATATTTAATGATTTTATTTAATAATATTAAGCAAATAAGCAAAAAAAAAAATATTATTCAAACCTGTTTTCTCAATTTTTTAAAAAATTAAAACTAAAAAAGCCAAAAGCAAAAAAACAAATTGTCTTATTTGTTTTCAAAAAAAATATATAATTTGTTATCATTATCATTATAGTTATCCAATCGCTTTACAATTTTTAAATTAACTAAACTAAAAAACAAATAGCAAAAAAATGAAAAATATTATTTCACTTATTCTTCCATTTTTTTAAAAAAAATACATTAAGAAAAAGAGCAAATAAGCAAAAAAAGAAATTATCCCACTCACCTTTGCAATTATTAAAAAAAAAATGCAAAAAAAAGAACAAAATGTGAAAAAAGCAAAAAAAAAAAAAACTTAAAAATATCATCCAATTTAAAAATGTAAGTTTATCCCTTTAAATTTTGATAAATTCTTCTTTATCTATAATATATTTTTCACAATTTGATTTAAATGCTTTAATTTTAATGTCAAAAAATATTGTAAATAAATTTATTCCTTAAATCATAGGGTTTTACAGACAAATTTCCTGCTTATTTACTATAAATTTTCTTTTGATTTACTTTTTATAAATAATTAATATTTTTAAAAAAATTTTTTTTAAATTAATTTTATAAATATATAATAAATTATAGCAAGTTTATCTTTTAATTATATAAAAAATTTAAGATTATTTAAAAGCTAAAATTTGTAATTTTTAAAAATTTATTTCATGATTAATCTATAATAAACTTTTTAGTATTTACTTTTAACTAGATTAATTATAATTAATGTTATCTGATGAAATTACCTTTCTTAATATAACAAAATTAACAAAACTAAAATGACGAAACTAAATTCTATTTATGATGAAATTATTTTATTTAATTATTGAAATTATATTTAACTTAATCTAAATTCCTTAAATTAAAATACATTAAAAAAATATAATAATTTTATATTTATTCATATAAAAATAAAGAGACAAAATCTTTTGATAAAGCTATAATTTTTCAAAAAAGAGTTTAGGTAGATATCATTAATTATAATAGAATATTATAAAATTACTTATAAAATAAAACTTTTATTATTATAATGTTTATAATTTATTAAGAAATTTTATGACTTTAATTAATGATAAAGTAATTTAATTAATACGCAAACATATAAATTTTTAAAGAATTTTTAAAAATTATTATTTGAAACTTAATATTAAAATTAGATTATTTTAAAAACCTTTTAAAAAACTTAAAATCTTTGTTAATAAAATTGATAAAAAATATATTAATCTATATTTCTATATAATAATAATATTACTAAAATTAATATTTAATATTTTATAAAGAAATTTTTATTTTTGCAGGCTAATTTGCCTGCTCTACAGTTTAAGAGATATAGTTAATCTACATTATTCTAAATAACTGAATGAAATTAATTAATTATTTTTTTTAGATGAATACATTAATAAGATCATATTAATAATAGTAAATAAAGGGATAAAATTTAGCAATTAATCCACAAATTAATCAATTGTTTAATTTATAGATTATATTCTGAAATGATGTATTTTATATATTTAATATTTAATAATATGAAATGTACTTTATATAAGATTTTCTTATATGAGTTTATTATCTTATATTTATTTATCTATTAAATAATTATACATAATATTATATATAAGAATTTACTGAAGAACGTAATTGTGAAAATAGGTTGTAAAGGTTGGAACTAGTTTTATTTTTATTAACTGGTTTTATTTGCATCCTAAAAACTGAAACTAGGTATAAACTGGTTTGAACTGAAAAACTGAAAAGCCGGTTTGAACTGAAAACTGGTTATATTTAAAACTGGTTTTAATCGAAAAACCAGTTATATTCGAACCGATTAGAACTGATAAGCTGAATATATCAAAACTAATCAACAATCGACATTATTGAATGTTAATTGTTATAGTTTTAATTGTTTTTTTATTATTGATTTGCTATACTAAATGTTAATTATTGTTATTATTACTGATTATTAGAAAAAAATCTATTATTCATTTTTGTAATTATTACTAAATATAAATATTAATGCTAAACGCGTCCTTTTTGCCAAAATGTGATTACCAGTATCAGAAAACAATTGTTCGCTAAGCAATGATGTTGCTGGAATAGAAAGATATTTCCTTGCAAGCTATGTTAAAGTAGGAAAACTGTCTCTGTGATTCACCTACCAAATTAGAGGGTTGTCTTTAACCTTAATACTTCTCAAATTTGTATAACGTAATACTTCGTTATCTACATCCATGTTTACTTGTATATTATTATCTTCAAGATCACGAAATAAGTTATCATCATCCTCTTCTTAATTACTATCTTCAATATTATCTGGAATACGAAGCCTTACTTTCAAGTAATTATATAAAGTTTTACTAATTGATATACTTTTTCTCGTTCATCATTAGTTGTCCAATTGAAATGTTTAAACCTTGGATCAAGAAATGTAGCAATTAAGGTATTATCAGTCAGAATAGACCATAATTCATCTAATGAAAGATAAATTGCAGCTCGAACTCTTTCAAGCAATCCAGTAGTATCAACTGGTGGTAAATCTTCCACCTAATTTGTATCTTCTGCTGCATTTTCATTTTGCATTCATTCTGTAGCAGATCCTTTAAATTTATTTATAGTATAAATTCTTTAAAAAATTTATAAAAAATTAGATTAACATAAAATTTTATATTATCTTGTTGAGATTGTCTTCTTCTTTGACCACGAATATTCATCTTTTGACAATATTGTCGATATGCATATTGCTATTGTTGTCAAGTACCTGCAGCAGGAATGTTATCATCAATCATTTCATCATCATTTTCTTCACAACCTTCTCCATAAATGAGGTTCAAATAGAAATCAAACATTTCATTTTTATCTAATCTTGAAGCAAATCTTTTTTTAAGAGATTCCATATATGAATGAACGAGATTAAGAGTTGGATAGTTTGCACCACACAAATGTCAGGTTATAATTTTGATCGGCATAAGCAACTTTACAACTTCTTGTAAAAACCTATAATTTAAATAATAAAAATTAATAAAAAATTTAAAATTAAATAACTATAAAGTTAAAAAATATTAAATTACTCTTTTTTCGCAACTGATAAGTAAAGACATTCTAGTTTTTCTCCTTCTTTGTTGGAGGTATGGTATGATGCAAAAAGTAATGAAGTTAAAACAAATCTTATTGAATTATGTAATTCCAAAACACGTTTCCAAGTAAGGTATGTGGAGTTCTATCTTGTTTCATATCTGTTAAAAGATCAAGAGGACTTTAAACTATTTTTCCTTCAGCTTGATTATATTCTTCTTGTGCTTCACATAAATATTGAGCTTGCTTAAGCTGTAGAAAAAAATTTTGTAAGCATTGAATACGACGATGTATGACTTTGTACTGCTTTAATTCTTCTTGTACTGATAATTGTAATGTATGAGCGGCACAAAGGGTTTCCACACTATCAATGTAATTAATTTTTGGTAATCATATTCCTTTGACCACATTAGCACTATTGTCTGTGGCAATAGTAAAAACCATTATATCAAGATGCCATTCAGAAATTATTCGAAATAACTCTTCACTAATTACTTCTCCAGTGTGAGGGTATGGAAGATGTTCACAAGAAAGAAGGCTTCTCGAAACTTAAAGTCAGAAGATAGTTAAGTTGCTGTAACACCTAAGTAACTATGTTCGGATTTCGCAATCTATAAATCAGGTGTTAAATGAATACTTGTTACACTACCATGAAGTAAATAGCTGAGTTGATCATAGCTCCAGTTATATGCTTCATATATTAGTCCCTTGGCAGATTTATCACATGGAATACGAAATTCTGTCTCATATGCATAAATAAACTTACAACACAAAAGAATTGATTTTATAAGATATAAAAAGGTCAAACAAAATGGATAATGAATTGGATTAATTTCCTTGCCAAAACTCCTGTCTTTTTACCGAATATGAAGGTGTCACATTATTTATATCATAATAATCTGTAACTTGAGTTTGATTATACTTTGGCTAATATGAAAATTACTAAACATAAAAAAAATTATCAAATTTAATAAAATAAAAATTTAATAAACTTACCCTTCCAATTTCGTTTAAGTATTGAGTATAATTATTTTTGATTACATTGTGTTTGTCCCATAAATGGTTTATCATAATTGTGTGTTTTCACCTTTACGAGTATATGGATAAGGCTTTTCACGCCTTGATAGATTATTTTCGTATATTTGACAATATACTATTTCGAAATTATCTTCATTCTTTCAAAAAAAATATGACATAAAACTTTTATTACTACGGTTGGCTGCTGTATTGGATTTTCATTTTTTCTGACTATTATTTAGTTGTGTAGATAGTCCAGAACATGTAGCATTAGATTCATCATCAGTATCTGAAAGTAAAGTTGAAACTGAGAAAGAAGACATTTTTAATTTTTGCAAATAAACTTTGAGTTTGAGATTATCCTTTATTAGTGATTAGCTCCAATTCTGTACTTCATATTACAAATTTGCTAATTAAAAATTGACTTATAAATCTGAAATCAAAAACAGTTTCCGGTTATAATAAAACCGGATTTTCAATATGTCAAAATTTGGAACTGGTTATAAGTCTGAACTGATTAAAACTGGATATAAATTTGAAATTGAAAACCAGTTCCAACTAGAGGCCACGGATTCGTGCATTTGCATAATTTCGCATTTATACACTATAATTTCACATAACACATGTATTATACTTTTGAGTCAATTTTATCATTTTTTTACATATTTCACATGATCTTAATTATATTTTATTGTATTTACCATTTAAGGAATAATTATAATCGATCATCTGCATCTTTTTTTTTACAAGATGGTTACGGCATCTGAGCGATTATTGAAAGATTCAAATTTTCAAATACATTTTCGTCTAGAAAATAAAAAGTTATACTGTAAATTTTGCAATCATGTAGTTAAACATGAACGCAAGTCTATTATAGAAGCTCATATAAACTCACCAACTCATTTAAAAAGGAAAAATAGTGTTGAAGCTTTACAAACAACTATACTAAGTATTTATCAAATTAGATTAGAAAAATAAGAAATTAATTACATCTTGTTGAAGCATTTACCAAAGCTAATATTCCACTTGAAAAAATCGAGAAACTTAAACTTTTTTTTAAACTATTGCAACAATGGTAAGATTTTTTATTTACAATATATTTGTTTTTTAGTTTTAAATATTTATATTAACATTAAAAATAAAAATTAAAAGAAGAGCTGTTGTTAATGCAAACCAATTACACGAAAGATATTTTCCAGCTGTTTTTAAATTAGCAAAAAATAAGTTAATGAATGAGTTATCTAATCATAGAATTTCTGTAACTATGGATGAAACAACAGATAGTTGTG